ATGTTCATACACTTCTCTGTTGACCTGGTATCAGCCGATTCTCATCCCATTTCTATTTTCTGTATATTGAATGGATGTCATATCAAAGAAGCCCTTCTTTATTTCAGAACATGTACTGTCAATATTTAGGAAAGCTTTCTTTTTTTCTGGGCAGACATCAAATAAGCAGTGTCAGTAAATGTTTATTGTAAAGTTGGTTATGGGATACAATTTATTACACAGTATAAAACCAAGATGAAACAAGATACTTTTCCAAGCTACATTTCTGTCTTTCCCCTTGTATACAGATGTGTAGGTTATATTCTGCCAGTAATGTTTCCTTTGTATAAGAAAGGAGTATGTGGCTTCCCAAATCGTGTCTGACAAGCACAGGTGTTTTGGACTCAGATTTAGGATTTCAATTCATCATGCAGAACATCATTTTTCTGTTAAGAAATACTACCATGGAAGGATAAGTCATAATACTTGACAGGGTTGGTTCACACAAATTACAAAGAACATATTTTCTCACATATAGTTTCAGTATGTTTTGGCCAGGTTTTCTGGCGCCACCAAAATACAGTAGAGATTAATCAAATGTCATTGGTGGTGCTCCCAACATTGAAACAATACCTTTTAAAAATCGACATATTCCTCCAGAAACAATGTCTTGCTTACTCTGGGTAATACACAGACCTCAACAGTTTTCATTGGAACTACTGTCTTCTGAAGAAAGATTTACTATAAAAACAGTTGACAGTATGTTAACAAGTTCATTTGTTCCTGGTATTTCACAATCATAATGTTGTGGCTAAAGATCAGAATGAGGTGAACCACCATACAGTGTTTTGCTGCTGTATTCATTTTTTAAGGTTTTAGGCATATTGCTTTAACTAGAAAGGAGAGGCAGCGAGGAAACAAGGGGAGAGAGATAAGGGTACATGTGTCAAGGATCCATAGCTAACATGACATCAATCATCTTTGGAGAAAATACATTGGGGATTATTAGAAGGATTATTCCTTAGGGAAAAACTAAGGAGAGCATATAGTGTTTTATTTAATTTAATTTCTTCTTTGTAAAATCTACTGTTCTGTAGGCTCTTATAAATGTGAATCTATAAGCCTACTGCCTGGATTTGCTTTGTGGTTTTCTCTTTCTTTAGTTCATTTGTTATTTTTTCAATTAAAACATTTTCATAATATACTGTAGTGTGTGTGAGTTTAACTGTATGTATTAAACTAAAACAGAGCATTTTCTGTGAGCTCCGATTACGTTTTATTTCTCTATTATATGCTCATGTGTTTCATTGTTGGTGTATGAGTGAAATGATAAATAGAAATGCAGGTTTTCCTATTAATAAAACATTTTTGAAACAAAATATCTTGGAGATTAAAACTTAGAAATATAACAAAGAGAATTCTAAGCATCTGGAAGGCTCAGCAGCACATTGGTCATTTCAGACAGATCTTTAAGGAGTAAACACACTGATACACTGACAAACAAATACCTACTGCACTTGCAGATATTACCCTGAAACTCCCTTGATGGAACCTTTACAGGAGGACCCACCTTTTTCGGTGCTAAGTATTTCATTTGTTTAAATGTAAAGTAAGACAATGTTTTTCCTGACAGATCTCTTTATCTCTGAGATAAGCACTAGTTGGGAAGGAAACCCGTGCTCACATCAATTGTAATGAACTGTAGGTTTCCAAAAGGGTTGAGGTTGAAACCATTTTTAATGGAATGGTTAAAATTAGCACTGTAATATTTGCTTGTTAGTTTAAACTTCACCAAAAAGGTTAGGTTAAATACAAAATGTGTTTAAAACTTTTTATCAAGTTAATACTGATTTTCTTGCCCTTATAGATGAATCTCTATTCACCTCATGTGCTTTGACAACACCAACCACAACAAGCTCATGGTGAAGAGTATTACTGGCTGGATGGAAATGCCCAGCAGTTTCAGAGAAACAACATCCCTCTGTACCACGAGGCTAACATTAGTTAGCATGGAGATAGTATTCATTACCGATGATGGTAATGAATACTATCTCCTCCAGCCTGCAGTGATGCAGAGCCCGTCTTTGCCTTACAAAGAACAGCAGGATGTTTCTATCCTACTGTTGAGAACAACATGCTGGAGTGGCAGAGCGAGGCAGAAGCCTACAAACTATTGTGTCAAGAGACACATACAAACATGATGAAGGAGGCTCTGGAGATGGAAAGGCAGAGCCTGACCATCGAGAGAGAGGCCTTCCAGAGAGAGTGTGCTCTAATGACTGAGAAAAGAAATGCCTTGCAGTTGGAGAAAAAGCACAAAAAAGTATTTGAGAAAGAAATGGCCATGACCAGAGAGGCCATCATTAAAGAAAAGTCAGACATCCAAACCGTGAGAGTCGCTTTCCAGACAGAGAAGAAGAAAGAGAAGAATTCAACAATATATCAGGGAGCAACGCATGAAAAGAAAGGCCTTTCAAGCTGAGAATGATGCTATGGCTGATGATAGAAGGTCCTTCCAGATCAAAAAGGAAGACATAGCAATGATGAGGACGGCCTACATTCAGGACAAGACAGGCATCCAAAGAACGAGAGATGCTATGCAGTTGGAGAAAGAGAAAATTGCAAATGAAAGAAAAGCCTTGAAGAAAGAGCTTGAGGAAAAGTGCAGGAGGAGAAAGGCATTTAATGCTGAAAAGGACGCCATGTCTGAGCTGAGAAGGGCTTTTGAGGTGGAAAAGGAGGAAATGGAAAAGACAAAAAATGCCTACATTCAAAAGAAGGCAGACGACAAAAAGGCAGATCAATTCTTCTTCTGCTTCATCTCCGTTTGGGCCTGCAAGAAGGAACAGGGCGACTGCACGTGCTCCCAGAAAGATGCACGAAGCAACCAACTGATATATACAGAAGGACACTAAAATGTTGTGCTTGTAACTGTGTATGCATTTTTTTCTGACTGTATGTATATACTTAAAATTAAATTCTGCTCTGTGTTTTCTGCAATGAAGATGAAAAAGATCTAAGAAGTATGTTCCAGGAACCGAGAGGGAAACTGCAGCGAAAACATATTCGAAATTATTTAAACCGTGTCAGTGGAAAATAACCAATCTCTCAAAATGGCATAATTTATAATTAATTGTCGGCTGCAAAGCCAAACTCGAAGAATTGCACAGATTTATTTTATAGATAATAAATCGAGGTTCACACTCAGATCAGCAACATTGCAAAGAAACATGCAGTCACCCTTTGGAAAGCTAATACATCCTTGGCCTTTAGATGTGTGTCTAGGGAGGAATTCATGCTGCCTGCATTGACTTCAACCATACAGTACACACACACACACACACACACACACACACACACACACACACACACACACACACAGACACACACAGTGAAGATGGGCTTGTTAACTGTTGTTTTTAAAAAGTCTGTGAAAACACTTAAAGCACATTGTACTCTCCAGCTCATCTCAACTGTTTCACAAGGCACCTGACATTCATAAAATGAGAGAGCTGTGGTGGAAAGAAACTAAATACATTTCCAAAATGATGTGTTCACTATACAGAAGTGTCTAACTCTGATACCTTGAACAATAGCAGTATTTCATATTAAATCACAAGAGCACCTTCCAGCACGACTAAAGTTGATTGATTCATATTTGTTTAATAATAATAATAATAAATTGTATTTCTATTGCGCTTTTCTTGAACCCAAAGAAGCTTTACATTTACAGGGAGACAAACAAGGACAGGCAAAAAACTAAACTAAACTAAAAAAAGAAAGAAAAAAAGAAAGAAAATAAAGATTATCTTGATTGCGATACAATCAACATGTGCACCTTAATTCGTTTTTTTTTTTTAATGAAAGGTAGGCAATATTTACATTGCAGTATTTTCATTTAAGTGAATGCCACTCGTTGGAGTATTTTAGAAACTAAAGAATGCCAAACCACAGTAGAAAAAACAATAATCTGCCACTCATAACTACAAAAATGGAAAATAACAACAGATACACACACAATTCAATTGAGAGTCACCACTGTATTGGGCAAGAGTTAGTTCCTTCCTGTGTGTCTGTGTGTATGTGCTTGTGTAAAATGAGAGAGCCGTTGCATGGTCTCAGACACACAGAGGGCTCCTCTCAAGCAGTAGCATTAGAAGCAGGCCAGGACCCCCAGGTGTAAGATGCTGAAGTATTTATCTCATATTGCTCCCCTGGCAGACAACCAGAGTCTAATACTGAGCCCTGCTCTGTCTTCCCCACTACACACTGGCGCGCACAGACACACACACATTTACACATCCACACACACTATAATGGTGCTACTAATCCGTTATACGCACAGTTTGTTTGCACATGCACATCCTTCTGTGCTGCCCCCATGTGCAAGAGTGTGTGTGTGTGTGTGTGTGTGTGTGTGTGTGTGTGTGTGTGTGTGTGTGTGTGTGTGTGTGTGTGTGTGTGTGTGTGTGTGTCACTGTGAGTATGAGACAGAATAATGGAGAAAGAGAAACCCCCTCCTCTCAAACCCCACCTGGCAAGGAGCAATTTAGCAAGAATGTAGCAGAGAGGCCTAACAGGAAATCCCTGCTGTCTCACCTGCACTGGCCCACTAAGCTGTGATAGTACGGTACAGACGCACTGCTAATACCCTCTTAAAGCACTCACCGCTGCCAGGCACAGTACACGAAAAACAAGGAGGGCGATGGACAGACGAGGAGGGAGGGATGAAAGGATGGAGGGGAGTTAGGGTGAAGGTAAGGGGAGAGTGGAGAGAGATGAGTCAAATTATTAAGAGCACATTAACACCAATGACATGCTGCTCCTCCACCGGTGAAAGCTACTACCCCATCAGCAGGTCTGTTATAGGATCTATGGCTTCGTCAGCTGGCACACATGCTGAGATGATAGACAGCTAACAAGTCGGGGTGATTAACCTCTCGCTTCTCCTTCAATTTCCTCTCTAATTTTCATTCCTTCTAGTCTCGTTCTTCACAATGTTGTCTTCTAACCTCTCTTTTTCAACACTCCAGCCCTGCTCCGGACTCTCCAGGAGGTTTCCTATTGCCATTTAAAAGCTGCAGGTCCTGTGGTGAGACAAAGTGATGTGTTGGTGTGAGAAATTCCCTCAAGTCGTCAAGCCGGGTTGTCTTTGGGACAGAACCACGTTTCCCAGCTAGGACTTTGTAAGTTTGCTCATTTAATGTGTGTTTCCATCTGAGAGCAATAACACACAAAGCAGAACTCCTACTTCTTGAGTTCAACCGGGGTACTCATTCTGCTTATGCGATTGTACACTGGGGATTGTATACTGTTTTGTTATCATTTGTTATTACACAGCTTTTTTTAACTTTAGTTTAAAAAAGAAGTCGAGCGGCCCACTGCTGTCTACTCTGACCCAGCTCTAATCCAAAAGGGACATTAGAGGTGCATTGAGGCGTTCCTCAGAAAATATTAATTAAAAACACATCTTTATCAACACATCTTTCCCCCAGAACCCTACTAAAACTTTCCAGCCCCTCACTCAGCACCACATCATTTGAAAAAGGACCCTGATATGTTTTCAAGATCCTGTGGTTGCATAGCCAATAATCCTTTGCAAAACGTCAGATTTCTTTAAATTAATGCTTATTAGCTAATCACTACTTGGAAAGTATTTATTCAAGAGATTTCTACCTGCATTTAAAGATACAACCATGCACACAAATGCATAAAGACACATTCATTGTCCTTGACTTCCTGTCTCATGCTAACAATGATAGTCGAATGTGGATTCTGGACACTGGTTAGCAAAGTAAAACAGCTTCTCTGTTTGTCCTCACCTCCCTTTTTCCTATCTCTCATTTCACCATAAAAGTTTTTCTGGCAGGAGAATCCGCAAAGGTATCAGGAACAAAGTCGGCTCCGGGCTGCAATTAACAACACAGGGACTATATGAGTACACTACCGTCCAAAATGGCAAAACCAGAGATGATGGGGAGACCAGAGCAGAGGCCATGGGACGCACCAACACTTGCATATTTACAAACTGACAGTTGCACTCTGTCACAACCCACTTGGGTGACCAGAAAAACATTTCCAATATGATTTCTTATCTCTTTCTCTAGCAATAAGAATAAGTATGAATGTCACTTCAGCTGACAACACCACCATAAAAGTTGTTGAATCCCAGGAGTGGTCTCATGGTGTATTATGGGATGTCTGAACTCGGGTTAAGTCGGGTTGCTGCGGTGCGCGGCGCACAGCTGTGTGAGCTATTCACTTCTCTGGCTCTGATGTTCAGCGAGCCTGTGTAAATACAGCACAGGGCAGCCATTAGACATCATTTATTCAAAGGGCATGCTGTGAAATTAATCATCTACATTTATGAAATAATGTTTGACTCATTTATGTTTGTCTGAGCATTAATGTGGCCAAATTGTATTGCTTAAAGAATCTAATTTCAAGATGACGCTAGACCACCAGAATGTCTCCCATACCAGCTATAATTATTCAAATCTCTTTTTATTGAAAATTATACATCAAAGTGAAACCAAAACACTCATATGATGAATAAGTAAGAGAATGAATGCAGACTTCTGGGTTCAAACAGCTAGTTGGTGTTAGTTTTTATTTCACTCTGGCTTATTTCTTCTTTGTCAAAAATTGGTGGAAAGTGAATAAAAAATTGCCAATCAAGTCTATGATTACATGTGTTTACAGTATTAACAGATGGTGTAAAAGCACCTGACTGTGGGGTCCCATATGCCCAGATGTGAGATGAAGCAGTGTTAAATAATCCAGTTTCCATGTGAGGCAATAGAAACTTCCAATAGATGTCAAGAGGTCATTGTTGAAAGTTGTGAGGTTAAACAGCGGAAGAACAAAGAGGGTTTCTTTCATATGAGCGCACATATTTATGTTGGCATATACTGTATGTGTGTGCACAGATTCACGAGGAAGTTGCAATGTCAAATGAAACATTTAGGTACTTCACAGAGCAACTGTGAACAAGGGCTGAGCTTCTCCAATACCCGGCGCTGATTCACGGTTCTCATATTTTCATACATACACATAAGACTTCGACTGTAAATACAAGCCAATTCAAATGCACACACAAAATACTTCCTCTCCACCTGAGCTGCCAGACATGACGACACCGGAGCTGAGCTTTACGGGAATGAGGGACATTTTCTATCCCATCTCTTAGGCTGGGTGTCATTTGAGGTGGGTCATCAAAGCTAGGGTTAAGGCAATAGTCTGAGAATTGTCTAATAGTCGGAAAACCTTAGGATAATAGGCGGATGTAAGCTGCCTCACAGCAGGGGCTGCGGGGTGGACTTTGGGGCAGTTTTATTGTACGCTCCAACATCTGTGGATCAAACCATGGCAACACAGCTGTCTGCCCACAGGCTACAGAGGAAACATGGGAAAGCGCAGATGTACAAAAAAAGACAAGGACACAGACACGCACACACGGAGAACTCCCAGGATCCACTGACAAAAGGATCTTTGTCAACAGAATGAACGTTTTTTACCATTGAATGAAAGTCAAACATGTCATGCTTTTGTGATCAGACCAGAGGATGGATATATGACACAAAAAATGTAGGGGGACTAACCCATCACACTAACCCTAACCCTCACTGCTCACATCTGCCTAATTCTCTCTTTTACCCTCCATCCATCATTAACTCCTCCACTATAGAGGGAAACAACACACACACGTACATACTGTACAGCATAACGGAAGAGAAGCTGCGGGCGTTCCCCCTCATTAACACTTCTTCCTTCTTTGATTATTTTTCCTGATCATTTCCATCACCGCATGCCAGTTTCTACATCCTGTTTCCAGGGATTCCATTTCCTATCAAACCACACTGAACAGTCACTGGCAAACATTTGCATACAGCAAGGACATGAAATCAGTTTGATTTATGTTTGGATTATTTTCTGTCAATCTGCTCCTCTGTCAAACACACCCTCATGATCTTTGATGCAGAAAGCACAGGGAGAGTAACCTGTACAAAAAATGTAAATACTTTAAAAATTGGTTAACTTCCAGAGGTCGCGTTAAACGAATATTTTCCGTCTATGACGGAATTTTTCTAACAATGACGGAAAAATCTGAAAGCCGTCCGTCATTTTTGACAGATTAGAACAAACTCAGAACAGCGCCAAAGTTTGCCCGCAGCGGGGCTCCGGTATTATGCCGTGTTTTGCATGCCCGCCTAAAAGGAAATTATATAGTTTCCAAACTTAACTTTGCCGAACAGATCATTGAAATCTGTCTGAGTATTTGCTTTACGCTGTGCGCGCTCCCGCGAGGTGCAGTGAGCATGCTTAACACGGCGCTAACAATTCACGGACTGACAGGTGATGATGGATTTTGACGGAAATGTTACTATCCTGTCCGTCAACATGACGGGCAGCGAAAAAGTCTAGCGCAACCTCTGGAACCAACATGTTTTTATGTTTTCAATTGCAACCAATGTAGCTTATTTCTGAGGTTGTTAAGTCATAAGTGAAGTAGGCTATCTCTAAGACAACTGAAAAAACGTGCATCTTCTGATAAAAGGGTTAGCGTTAGGGAGCTTGAGGCTCAGAATCAGAATACCTTTATTCCTCCAACAGAGGGGAAATGTACTCGTAAGGGAGTAGAAATATTGATTCAGTAATTTGTTTCTATATGCTGCCAATCAACAATGCTTCAGCACATTGTTATGAGGGTTTGAATATCAACCCAACTGTGCAGAGATAATAGTCCATTTGTACATACCCTATAGGTCACTCCCAAATACCTTTAAAGCCTAAAGGTAGGATTTACACCTCATAGTCATTGATTCCTTTCATATCAAAATGTTGGATTAGAGCCAAAAACATTTCATAGTCCCCCATAAAGGAAAGGACAGAAAGGTTTCGGCTTTTTCTGATTCAAGCATTCTATTGAGAAACCTACTATTAGCAAGGATTGAACTGTAGGTGGTATCTGTAACTGTATTATTGTAGCACTGCACATTTGTGTATCTGCATGTGTGTGTGTCTATATGTGTGTAGGAAATTAGAGGTTAAGTGGTCTGAGCAAAGCAGGGTGACCCTGAGGAGAGAGAAGGTCAGAACAAAAAGAAAGGAGAGTATTGTCTTTGGCTGTCTCTATCAGCACCTCACTGCCTACTGGTTAACCAGCTGCTGACTGACAGAGGACCAAGCAAAGCCCTAATTACTATCTGCGTTTATGTGTGTTTTTGTTTAGTTTCAAAATGTGCAGAAATAGAAGACCTTCATGTGGGATAAACCATCCAACAAATTAAATGTACCTTAAAAGTACCCAAACGTAAGGCATCATTTAGACTTGTATGCATGAGAACAAACGGGCGGGTTTTGTGCACATATGCATAATGTGCCATGTGCGAAGACCTGTTGTTTGTTGGCTCATGTGCACATATTTACCTTGTTCCCTGTGTAAACCATTATATATCTCATCCCGGTTCTGACCTCTATAACTCCACTTTATAGCTTTTCCACATGGCCGCTGAATAACTATCGGGGGCTTTATCTTGGACGGTACCATGTTTGTTCTGGGGGCCCAGCGCTTTGCTACTCGCACACTATCCCAAACCGCACCACCCCAGGAACCCAAGAGCATGCTGTTGGGTCTGAGAGTGGAGACCACGGTCAGTCAGGTCCACATGAGGTCATTTTGTAACTGGTCCTTAGGATTTGAATGTGAAGTTTTGAATTACTGATCAGCCTAAAACAGGAACTGCTTTCCATTTGCTTATGCCAACCAACTGACTGTTGTTATGGGTTCATCAAGTTCTCACTTAATAATGTGTACATACACTTTTCCTTGCAGTTATGCCAATAGATGAGGAATGAAAATGGATATAGAAGAAGGAGAAGTAGGTGAGAGAATGTGGGGGGCCAGATGGAGGCAGATACTATGAGGGAAGAGAAAATAAGAATGGAGGGAGAGAAAGGGAATGAGGCAAATAGAAAGACAGAGAGCGACAACACAGCAGGGGGAGCGAACAGGGCGGAGTGAAACCAGGTTGAGACCACATCTTTGCTCCGCCTCACTACCAAGATGAACCATTAATCAGCCAAG